GAATGTCTGAGACCTATCTGGACTTAGCTAGAGCAGGTGGATCTTGCGACAGTATCACCTCAAGTTGCTGTTTGTCCTTTAGGGAGGCATGAAAGCTTGGACTTTGTGTGTCATCTTGAGGTCTGCCCTTCTCCAGATGTAACTCCAGCCACAGTTTTGATGTCTTCTCACCTTCTGCGCTGACTCCTTGAGGGCCCATCCAGCCCTGCCTGACTGTCAGTTACATTCTAGCTCACTGAGCAGCCGATAGTGACATGTTCACTCATGTTACTTTTTGGATGTTTAAATTTGCTGCTTTACACTTAAAACTCTTTATGAAAACTGTAATAGAACTTTTGTGATTGGAGCTTGTCCATATTTAAGCTTAAGGAATCCCAAAGTAATGCTGGATTGTTCAACTCTAAAAACAGAAATAGATGTTAGTTCATAAAGAGAACATGAAACTTGTTAAACTAGACATGTGGGAATATAGTAACTGTACACATATTTTCCCCACTTCTCTTCCTTTACCTCTCAGACTCTGAGGATCTTTCCATAAGCTTGTCTGTGACTCAGCTTTAGTTTCAGATTACTTAATGCTTTCATTTAACCAAGGGAGAGGAACATGATTATTTAACAATTCCATAATCCTCAGTTAGGATGCCAAGAGCCTCAGAGGAGTCTAATCTTATGGCTTGGCACTTTGCACCTTTTCTTTTTCCTTTAAAAAAAAACAAAACAAAACAAAGCATTACTTACAGTTGGTCTGCTAACGAGGCATTTCTTTTATCCCTTGAGTGTATTTCTGGGTCAGTTTGCTTTGATAGCTCCTCAGGGACTATCCAAGAGCCTGGCTAAGTTATCTTGTATAGAGAAACACAAGCCCAGTTGTTCAAGGTCCTTTGTTTCTTTTATCTAGTGAAAATGCTGAGGATTGCAAAATGCAATCCTATCAACATTCATTAATTTATTCAGATTGTCACAATAGCACCACTGTCAAAGCAATTCAGGCATGAAGGCTGTAACTCTAAAAATGCAGAAGTGGAAGAGTATAGAGCTTCACATCTGGCCTAAAGTCACTTAGGAAGGGCTAGATTGAAGCCAAAATCGAGGCCCCACAATGTGTAATGCACACTTTCTAGTGTGTCACAGTGACTCTTGCAAACACCAAATACTTGCCAGATACATTTCCCACTCCAAACTGAACACCAGCCCTGTAACAGTGTAAGCATTTGCTGTTTTCTTATCAAATCTTTGTTATCTGTAATCCCAACTTGTGAAGTTAATGGAAAATTCCAGAAAATAGGTTACAACTTGGCAATAATAATAGTCCTTTCTCTTCAATACACTATTCTCTTTAATAGACCATTTAAAAGGAAAAAGTGTGGTCATATTTGAAACTGACACTGAAAGCAGCAGCCAGGAGGTAAATTTACCTGAATTCACAGCAAAACAGTGACAGCTATACTCCAAAGCTTACATTTTCACATGAATACTAGCAGGAAAATACATGGAAGAAAGATGCTGATAGTGTTGCTGAGTATTAGCATGCTTGAATCTCCTTCTAGATGTGGTTTGCAGGTCTTTCTGACCTGAATAAATAAGTGGTGAAGAAAAACAGAAATGGTACTTTTACATTTATTAAAAGTATGAAAGGAAAAGGGTATTCTGAGGAGTGAGTCTGGCCAACTAAAAGTAGGAAAAGATGCACATACTACAGAATGAAAGCAGACCACCATGAAAGAGAGAAGACAGTGGCTGAGGGCAGAGTGGCCGAGAACTCAAAGAAGATCATCTTCTGTATCTCTACTCCTCAGGCTGATGTCAGTTCTAAGCAATTCTATAAATAACTTGCTTCAGTTCCCCAGAAGAACTGAATATAACACTCTGATTGATTCCAAGGGCAGGGCTTTGGAAAACATTCCTCCATGTGAGAAGAATAGAAGAAATGAAGGTAAGTAGAAAGGAGACAAGGAAATGACAATTTTAAAAATTGCATTTTGAAGAAAAACTGCAGCTTCAGAACACAAGCCTTGGGCTGGGGAGATAGCTCAGTGGTCTGAGCACCTGCCTGGCAAG